TACTATATAAATATAGTATATATAATTGAATATATCCACTTATATGTATTTTTCCACATATAAATGTACTTTAATTTATATATTTAATATATATTATATTTATAATTTATATATTTAATATATATACTTTTAGACTGATATTCTTTTTTATATATATACACTTTCACACATATATAGTTTAAATATATATACAAATATACATACATAATTTGATATATATACTTGTACAGTTATATATTTTTATATATGTGTACTTTTACACATATGTATGCTTCAAATATAAATATACACCTATATAAACATGCTTTGATACAGATATATTTATACTTATCTACTTTTATATATGTACTTTAATACACACATATAAATATATATACACACATATATACATTTGTACATACTTTATGTATACTTTTAAAATTATATGTACATATATAATTGAAATATAAATACATAAATATACACACTTTAATATATATAATTTTATTGTTATATAATTATATTTATATTTACTTTTACACATTTATACTTTAAATATATAGAAATATACATACATACATACTTTGATATATATACTTTAATAGTAATTTGATTTTATACATATGTACTATTATGCATCTATATACTTTAAATATACAGAAATATTTATACACATATATATTTATACTTATATACTTTTATATATGTGCTTTCACACACACCTAAAATATATACACATATATGTACTTTTTAATATATATATATTTATTACCTTTATTTATTTATTTATACTTGCTTAATGATATATACAATATACACACATACTTTTATATATACAGTTTAATAATTACATAATTTATATATGTACTTTTGCACATATATATACTTTAAATATATGGAAATATATATACATATATATGCTTATATATGTTTATACACTTTTATAGATGTACATTCACACACACATATAAATATATACACATACATATCAATTTCTCTATATACTTTGATGTATATACTTTTAAATTTATATATACATGTATAGTTTAAANAAAGCCCACTGGACAAAAGTATCCACAGTGTAGTAGAAGTGAGTAAAGGTGATAGGTCAGAAAAGCAAAATAAACCCTATAGCAGCTGTCCTTTGGATTAGAAAGTTGTATATTGTCTTGTAACAAAGAAATTATGACTACTCTGAGCTATGTCCAACTGCTTGCTCCTCTCAAATCTCACAGCCTCTGAGACTGCTGTTTATCTGAGCAATAAATCATTCTTAGCCTGAAAATAGTGGCATCCCTTCATTAAAAGCAACAATGATAAAACTCCTTCCAAAATTCTCTATGAGTGAGTTCTCACCCCTTCCCTGACAGGATGGACTTCCCTGTCTGGCTTTGGGATAGGGATGGCTGGACTGGAGGAGCTAGAAATGAATTTTGTGTATAAATACAACTTTGACAGACCATTTAACTGCTTTTTTGGGTTTTTTTGTTGCTTTTAACAGGAGAAGTTGTTCCTTGGGAGCCTTGATTCCTGCCTGCACACAATGCTGCTCGCTCCAGAGGAGAGAACCTGGGTGCTGATGACAGGGACATGGTCCAGGTGCCACCCCTGGGCAGTGCCAGCCACAGGTGAGCCCAAAACTGAGCTTTTGCAGGGCAGCCGAAATAAAAACTTGGCTGTGGGGTTTGTTTTATAGTGAATAACAATGTTACATAAAACCTCAGCACCTGGAGGGGATGTTACATCCCAGGTGGAATAACTTTCCCTGGCTGTGTGAGTGTCGTCCTCTGGTCATGGAAATTCAGCAGATCCTCCCAAACTCTTCTTGGCTTTGTCAGGCTCACCACAAAGTGCTGAAGAACAACTGCTGGAGTTACCATGGACCCAAAAAAAACCCCCAAACCAAAACAACAAACCACTTTGTTGGTATGAAATGAGTATTTAGATTCTTGTGTTAAAACAAGATAAACAAATGGCCTGTGAGCCTGTTAATATTCTTAATTGCAATTGGGCAACAGAACACATATATTGAACAAACACGTCATAAATTTATTAATTTAATTTATTATTATTTATATTTTATTTAACTTTATTCCCCCACACACCTTATTCCCTCTCCTTAAAATGTGTGTTTTTAAGGTGATTTTGACCCAGTTAAGAGTGGTCTGGCAGACTTGGGATTTTCCTCAGAATAAAAGTTTCTTGATTCTTTGGCTGCTAAAAAGGAACTTTTCCTTTCGCTGCTGCAACAAATCTTTTTGGTGATGTGAGTTCAGGATTTAGAGGGAAGTCTTCAATAATCTGCTATTTTTATAGTTTTATCCCTGTTATTAAAAGGTCTGAGTAACTGACCTATTTTCTTCCCTGAATTTGGTTTTTTACATATTCTTTTTGCCTGTTTATTTCTGCTGGTTCATTTCCTGGGAAACCCAAAAAAGAAATTTAGACATTTCTGGTTTGTTGTGTTTTTTTTTTTTTTTTTTTTTTTTCTTTTTTTTTTTTACCTAGTGGTTTTTTTACCCAGAGAATCCCTGGCAGTGCACCCTGAATGAGTCAGGCAGTCCCCGGGTGCTACAGATTAAGATATCCATATAGGTGGGAGTTATTAAAAATCTTCAAAAAGCCACAAACCAGCATGTTTTTATGCTTGTTTTATCCTGCCAAGAAACAAAACCCAAGGAATAAACAGGAAATCCTTCCCCTGCCAAGGAGTGAGAGCAGAATCCCCTCAGTTGGGTGTGATAATGCTGCAGTGCTGTTGTTTGCTGTTGTTATCAGGGATGTTCTTGCAGTGCCCTGGGGCAGGGAGATCCTGCAGCTGTATGATAACTGATTCTAAAAAGGCTTTTGGCTAATTTTAATGCTTTTTTGGAAAATCAAGAGCTCTGTCAGGTGGGTCTTTGTCAGTGAAAGCAGTTTCTTCTGATTGTACAACGGAGCAATGTTTAGCTGTTGTTAGGTTATTTTTCAGCTTATAAAACATCTTCTCAGAGAACTCTTAATCTGATATGAGCCTGAAGCTCTTCTGACATCTAAAGAGGAGGAAATCCTTCCTGAAGGTGGTGAGACCCTGGAGCAGATTTCCAGAGCAGCTGTGGCTGCCCCTGGGTCCCTGGAAGTGCCCAAGGCCAGGTTGGACAATTGGGACTTGGAGCAGCGTGGTCTGGTGGAACCTGCAGGTCCATTCCCAACCCAAATCATTCTGTTCCAGTCCCCCAGATGTTCATAACCCTGGCATCATTTAGAATTCTCCAGGAAAATTCCTAAAACTCCTTCCAGGTGGCCCAATGGGCTTCCCATGCTCTGCCAGCAGCTCCTGGCACCTTGGAATGACAGCCACAAGTCTGGAACTGCTGCCAGGGCTTTGGACAACCAAAGGGAGCAAAACCCTTCCAGTGGTGAGGAGCAACATGGGAATGTCTGTCAATTTTTTACTTCTTTTCTGCAAAGGTCAGGATTAAATGTGTGAGATGGAATTTCTTGTTGGGACTCAGATGTTTATCAGTTCTTATCTCTGTCACACTCTCACAAACCCTGAGCTCTGCAGCACTTCACTCCAACAACCTAAACTTGGAGCCCCATCTCTCTCTCTGCAAGGCCTTTGAAGGATCAACTGTCCAATTAGGAAATGACACCTCAATTATTTTTACTTTTAACCCAATAACCAACCACCCGTGGCTGCAATGGGGACTTTTTAATCCAATTACACAAAACCACCCAAACCCATGGAGAAGAAGGAGCAGGTGAAGAAGAAGGAGGAGGAGGAAGGTGAAGAAGAAGGAGCAGCCTCCGCCCCAAAACCTCCACCTTGCTTTATATCCATTACTGTATTCTAAACCCTTAAACTCTGAGTTTCCCACCTTGTGATCTCACACACTTCTATCCAAACTCCACACCCACAATCCCAGTTCTGTCATTCCATTCTGGAAGCTTCTCCACGGCCTCAGGTCAGTGCAGTGTTCTCTGGGGGGTCAGTGCCTGGCAGCACAGAAATCTGAAATTCTCAATAATCAGGGTTCCAAGCAGTGTCCTGCTGTGGAATCGTGGCAGAGAGGATTTCCACAAGGTGCAGGTCTCTGTTTTCAGCTGCGTTTCTGGAAGCCTCTGTGTGGAAAATGTCTTGGACACATCTTTAGCTTGGAGATCACAGAATCCCAGAATGGTTTGGGAAAGGACCTTAAAAATCATCTCATTCCACCCTTGCCCGTGGGCAGGGACACCTCCCACTGTCCCAGGCAGCTCCAGCCTGGCCTTGGGCACTGCCAGGGATGTGACAGCCACAGCTTCTCCTGGAATCTGTGCCAGGCCCTCCCCACCCTGACGGGAAACAACTTTCTCTTAATGTCTGGTCTAAATCTCTCCTTTTTTCTTGTCACAAATACCACAACAATATCAATGTCTAATAGCTTTGATGCTATTTAATTTTGTGTAAATTTATACCTGAAATATTAACATTTTACTGATGAAGTTATGTTCATGTATTTCTCCTCAGAAGAAACTTTGAAAGAGAATTTAAGTGTAAAGAACTGCTTGAGGCTTTTGGAAATAGTGAAGGGTTTTGGTAAATATTTTTTTTTTTGCCTGTTCCTTCACTGTTTGAATGAAAAAATTAGTCCACAACACCTGTCTGGGCTTTAGATGTAGTTTTTTATTGCTGTTTTTGAAGGTGATTTATTAAAACCAGTGGCTTTCCTGGGATTTGCAGAGGAATAAATGAAATAATTTGATTCCCCCCTCCTTTTTTTTTTTTTTTTTTTAAAGGCAGCATTTAATTAATTGTTTTTTAACTCCGAGATTCTGAGTTAAATTTAATTAATTTAATTAATTGCTTTTTAATTCTGAATTTCCATCACCCTTTTTTTTTTTTCCTGCAACTTGTTAGTGGTTCCTATGTAAACCCCAGAGGAGAATTCAGTGTTTGCCTGGGGGGAAGGAGAGGCTCCAGTGTTCTGGAAGCACTGAGCCTTATCTAGGGTACATGAAGTCCCTCTTCTCCTGGGCTTTAGACACAGCTCCCATCAGCAGTGATGAATGGCTCTGGAAATAAAACATAAATCCATTTGTTACAGATCCTATTTTTAATCTGCGCACAAGTATTTTATTTTCTGGCCAAGGAGCAGGAATTTCTCTCTGTCTGCTGCTTTCTGGTAGCCCAAACAGGACCGGGGGCTGTGGGTTTGCTGCTAAATTCTTGTGGGATTTTGGCCTAATGTTAGTATTTATTTAGCCTAATATTTGGTTAAATAAATGCTGCCAGACTGTTCATATGTTCCATAATGCTTATATGGAATTTTACAGGATATTTGTGTGGTCTCCATGGGGTCTTAACCCCTCTAATTCTGTTACTTTTTAGGGATTGGTTTGGGTTTGAAAAATCAGTTTGTAGCAAGTGATAAACTTGTGTAAAGTTTTCATTTATTTATTTAAAATAAATTTATTCACTGCAGGGTTGTTCTGCCCTGCTCTTGGCAGGGACACACGTGACCAGAGAATATTTCTGCCCAACCTTTTCAGAAAACCTCCAGGAATGGAGGTCTGGGTCTGGGACAGCTTTCAGTAGGCCAAGGATTAATAGTAAATTAAATTCAGAGAATTCCAGGTTTGAAGAGGCCTCAGATATCATTTGCTCCAGTCTTGCTTGGCGTAAATAACCTTGGAACAAATAATTTATTTGTAATATTCCTTTCTGCAGCAGTACTGGGTTACTTTTATTTACCCACATTTTGCTCTGTGGGGTTCCCAGATGCCCCCCCCTTTCTTCACTGGAATATTTTGTGGTTTTGGGGTATAACAGGGATGATGGTTCTTGTTTTCCAGAGGGGATGTGTTTGCCTGGCACAGGTGCATTCCCAGTCTCATAGAGCTGTGAAGGTGCCACACCAACACCTAAAATGTGAAACCTGTGGAGAATTCCTATTTCTGTGCAGTAAGTCAACTCTGTTTATTTATTGCATTTATTTTATGCATATTTATTTTTGGAAGACAGATTTGGGTTAGTTTCAGGTAAGGGAGGGAACGTGATTTAGACTTGATCCTTTTGTTGTGGTTACCTTACACAGTGCTGAAAAACTCATTTATTTCAGGAAACAAAAGCAAAGCTTTGCTTTGCTGCCTTTCCTGCTCACTGGATGAACATCTAATATTAAATAACATTTTTTTTCTCTGTTCCATGCAGGAGGCAAACCATGGACACCCAGTTGTTCTCCCCATTCCTGGGAGCAGCCCCCAGTCCCCCCACGCCCCCAGAGCCCTCCCAGCTGTGCAGGGACTGGCTGGGATGTGCTGAGGATTTTGGGTCCCAAAATTCCTTCCAGGAGTGCCCAAAAAAAAGGTATCAGCATCCCTGCTGGGGCCTTGGGGCTGCTGGGTCACTTCTTGTGTTACAGAAAAAATTCTGGATTTTTTTGGGGGGATTTTCAGGCATCTCTGGAGACTCAGCAGGTTTTCTTTGCTCTGTGGTGGTTATTACTGAGGTTGTGAAAAAATAAAGGTGTGTGTGGGGCTTTCTTTTTTCCATCCTAAAGCCAAGTGATGGTGACAGAATATTGCATTTTTATTGGGTGATAGAGACTGACACAGCAGCTTCTGATGAGAAAATGCTCATTTAATGAGCATTTCTAATACATTATTGAATTTTCTTGTATCATTTGCTTAATAAGAAAGACAAAATCTGAGGTGGGGAAAAAGTGGAGTCCTCTGGCTCACAAGGTGCTGAAAGTTAAAGAAGATAATGGATTGCAAAAAACCTTAATTTTTTTTTACTGATGTTCAGTGAGAAGTGTCAGAGTGATGTTTATTTTTGAATAAAAGATCACACAGCTTTGGTGTCAGCTGTGAGTTAATTTTCATTAAGAAATGGCAATTTGCTAATTAAAATATATTTTCTTAAAGCAGCCTTTGGATTATTGCAGGTAGCTTTAAAAAACAAAAAAGTTTTGGAATTAGGGTTAATTAATGTAAATTATTGGGTTAATCCATATCTACACCTATTCTGAGCCTGTGGATATTCAGAATTCCTTGAGATCTCCCTAAAAAAAAAGAAAAGAAAAACTTTGCAATTTGACTAAAACACAGAAAATAGCTGCTTATCAAATATCAGTTCTGCATTCACAGAACATTTTCAAGAGTCTTTGCACTTCTGAGCACCCTAAATTAAATTCAGGTTCCTTGGAGAGGAAACTGAGCAGTCATGGGGTAAATCAGGGACTGAGTTAGAGGTGAAACTGGTGAGATCTGAAAAGCCAGCAGAGTGTGATTTTCACTTAGATTAAAAATGTGATTTTTTTATGAGTTTGTCCCAATTTTATGGTCTCTGTTAATCAGCAAAGTCAGTGAGCAATTGTGTGGCAGCCAAGGGGGTTTGGGTAAGGTGGGACCAGGAAATCTCAGAGATCTTCAAGAACCCTGAAAGGTGGGAAGTTTATTGGAGCAAAATAATGAGGGTGGAGGGAAGGAGAGCTTTGTAATTCACGTGTGAGGAAGAGTCAGGAGTCATTCCAAAAAACTCCATAAAAATCTAATCGTGCACCTGAGGTAAGAAGTTGGGTTTGTTTAAAAATTGTTGGAAACCTTGGGTATTTACCAGAAATATTTAGTAAAATTTTGACCTGTCCAGAAGGAGATTAAAAAGCGATTCAAGTTAAGTATATGTAACTTACATATAAATGATTTGTTTTGAGATTAACATAATAGGTTTTGAATTATTTGGCAGTAGGTCAATTAGAGTGCTCCAGACTTTGAGAGTAGTGATTCTATTTATGCTCTAAACAAGACAGTCAAGGTTTGAAGGAATGTCCATGAAACAGTTTTTTTTTTTTTTTTCCCCTTGGAAAAAAAGGAAAATTTTTGCTGCTTGGAAATTCTCCGGTGAAACAAGAAGGAAAATAATTCTACTTCACTTGGGCTATAGAATTCACAAATGCAGGAAGGGATTCCTGTAGAGGGATGCTGAGGATACATTAAATCAGAACAAAAAAATGCTGCTAAAATAAAGATTTGATCATCTTTTTGCCTGTTTTGTTTAGGAGAAAACTTTAAGTAAGTTTTACTTATTTAAAACTTTTACTTTGGTCTTTTTTTGTTTTTTTTTTTTTGTTTTTTTTTGTTTTTCAGTGCACCAATAAATCTTTCTTACTCTGGCAATGGTCCTGATGTGTTTGGGTTGGTGTCGAGCATTTTAGAGGAGCCAAACAAGCCAGAGCCAGCCACAGATTGGTGAGTTTGTTCTGGGGGTTCTTAAAATTCCTGTGCTGGTTTTTATGCCCATTTTCACAAAGATATGATACACATTTTTAATTATTTCAGAGTTGAGTAATGACAGCCTTTCAAATCCCCTTAAAATGTGGAAGTTAATTTACTTCCATTCCATTAATCTACTTCATTTGCCAGCAAAAAAAAAAAAAAACCAAAACAACAATACTGAACTGTTAAAAATGTAATTTTTAAAAAGTTTTCCATCAGCTTTACAGCATTTGAAGAGGGGGAAAAATATAATTAATTTTAATCAGTAGAGAGCTGACAGAACACAGTGGAATCTGAGATATTTAATAAGTCCAAATAAACTCTGCATTTCTGAATGTGCAGAATAAACAGTGTGGGTGATGAGATTTCACAGAGCACTTGCTCAGCTGCAGTGGGAATATTCCTCCTGTTTTTGAGGAGAACTGTGCATGATGTGTGAATCATTTCAAAGCAAGAAATGATTTAAATCCTGACGGGAGGTTGGTTTAACTCTTCTGTTCCAGGAATTCTCTGTCAAGTTTGTTCCCCTCTGTGTGGGCACCTGATCTTGGCAGCAATGGGGAGTTCCCAGGGCTGCCAGCTCAGCACTGGGTCCAAACCAAGGATTTTCCCACCCTGCTGGGCTCCAGCTGCCCCCAGGAGCCCCTGCAGGAGCCCCCTGAGGTGGAGATGCTGCACAGAGGTTTGGGGGACCTTCAGCTCCTCGAGTCTTGGCTCTCTCCCCATGCTCATCCCAGCAATGCCCTGAAGAACCCTGGAAATTCCTCCTTGCAGAACAGCACCACAGCTCCCCAGGAAGGGTTTTCCTTCCCAAATGGGGGCTGGAACCAGCATTATGACCACAGGAGGTTAAATGGAGATGATGAAAAATGTGGGTCCAGTTTTAGCCCGTATTCTGCTCGGAACAGGATGAAAGAAAACCCCAGCGCCCAGAAGGGTTTTTGGAAAAGAGGAAAAGCACTGAAAAATAATGCTCAAGGACAAAATAAGTATTCTCCTGATCTTTCCAATCAGCCTGGTGATAACTCTTGGGATAAAGTACCCCAGGACAGCCACCTGTTCTCTAAGAGATATGAGAACTTCCCAGCTGCTCACAAACTGCAGTCACCTGTCCATCCATCCCTTCATTTTTTCAACCCACCCCCTAAGGAAAATACATTTTCTGGAGAAACAGGCAGAAAACCCCAGGAAAGCCATGTGCAAAATGGCCATTGTGGCTTTACTGTGGGGGATGCTTTTCATAACAATAATAATGAGTGCAAAGTGAATATGGGCCCTAAGGAAAGCTCTCCTCAAGCAGCTGAATATGATTTATCTGTGAAAAATGGGAATTACTCCTCATACCAGGGGTGTGCATGGCTGGATGGGAACAGTCTGGCAGCTGCTGCATCTGAAATTCCATATGGAAAACAAATGGCAACGAGCCCCCAGTCCTCATCAGGGGTTTCCACCATGTCTGGGGGCTCTCCCACCCACCAGCCTTTCACACAGCCCTCCTTCTACTCCCAGCTCCTTCCCACCCTCCCTCCCAGGAAAGATGGGAGGTTACAGACCTCAAATGGAGTTTCCAGTCACCTGGGGGTTCCTCATTTCATCTCAGAGAGCCAGAAGCAGATGAGACGCCATGGAAGGTCCCAGGAGGATGCTGGGGTGAGCAAGGACGGGCGGCGCCGCAAATTCCCCGTTCGATTTTCACCCGACTGGCTCGGGCAGCAGAAAGCTACAGGTGGAGACCATGCTGAGAAATACCAAAGGTTCCCAAAGAGGCAGAGCCAGGAAAGTGGCAGTAAAGATGACAGAAGAGGCAGAAGGAATTGGATCCCTCATTTGGGATCTACGGCCCCAAACCACCAGCCTTTCAACGCGTTTCCAAAAAAGCACGAGCAGAGCGGTGGCAGCTTGTCAGATTTTATCAATCCTTCTCTGCTTCCTTCCTTCCCATTCATGTCTGATTTTAAACAAAATCCCAGCTTCCCTCCATTTAATCACCAACTGTTTCCACCAGCAAACACTTTCAATTTCCCTCCGCCACTGTTTCCATTCTCGGAGCTCATTGATCTTTTCCACTGCGACGACTTCACCCCCTTGAGTCCCTTCAGGGGTGATCTCTTCCCTGGGGAAATCCCTGCCCCCTGCTTTGCCTTCCCAGCCCCATTTAACAAGTTCAGGCCTCCCAGGAGCCGCAGTGGCCCCGCTCACGAGCTCCGCGTCCGCCTGGAGGAGTGCCACGAGCAGTGGAGAGCTCTGGAGAAGGAGAGGAAGAAGGTAAAACACAGCTGGTGGTGATTCCTGATAAAGATTTGGCTGGTTTTAAGAGAGAAAGTTTTATGGTGTTTCTTTTTTGGTTTGTTGGGGTTTTTGGTTGGTTTTTCCTGTTGTTGTTTTGGTTTTGTTTATTTTTTTGTTTGGTTGGTTTTTGCTGTCCATGATATAGTCACTGCTTTCTCTTCTGTTTTTCTTCTTGTAGTAAAGTAGTAAGAAAGAAAATGAAGTAACTAATCCCGGGCACCCTCCGTGTGTCTGTAGAGAAAACCTATAATATTTTTCTTGTTTCCAAGGGGAATTTCAGTTTATGCTCCTCTCATTACAGTCACTTTCCTGCTTTAGACTCACTTCCAGAACTGTTGGCAGGGGGAGCATCACACTGGTAATGAGGGTATTGCACTTGGGAATGAAAACTCTGTGCTCCAAAGAGGGAGGAAGAGCTTTCCCAAGAGGAGTCAAATAGCTGAATTCCATGCCAGGTCTCAGAAAATAAATTGGCCATAATCCCTGATTTTAATAATGCACTGGGTGTTACTCCCACGCGTGAGGAGCCTCCTGGTCACTGGATAAAGGTGTCTGAGCAGACTTGACCTGGCAAACCCCTTTTTCTTTCCATCATCAGCTGTGGGGCCTTGCTGATGGACTTTGGGAATTGTGAATGGAGGTGCCTGTGTTGTTTTCCCATGGATGCCTTTAAACAAGACTCCTTTCTGCCTGTCTGGCCTTCCAGGAATGCTCTGGAAGTGAGCAAGGGATGGTTCTTGATCCAGTGTTTGTCTCCTGTTCTCAGGCAGGATTAATTAAGTTCTTTGCAAAGACCAACTCATAGTTTTTGTCTCGTGCTTTTTATTTCATCATGAAAGAAGGATTGTTTATCCTCATACTCATTAATCAAAAGGGCTTAATTGACCCCTTGCTCTGGTCCATTCCAGTTTTATCCCAGTGAGCTGTTCTGGGTTTCTCAGGGTGGTTTGTGGTTACAGGATAGAAACTGTTCTCAGTCCTCCAAGCCACAGCCTGGCTCCCATTCCTGCAGCCAAACCACATTCCTCAGGAGGGGATGACTGCAAGGAGAGAGAAACACCCCCTGGGATTTGATTTCGTTCTCTCTACCGTGTTTAATCACTCAGCCCTTCCAGCTCTCTGAAGCCTGTTCCTTGCAGCTGCTTTGGAGTCACAGCTTACCTGTCTCCTTTCATAAACCCCACTTTTCCAGGGATCTCACATTTAAAGCATTTCCACAAGTTAGGAATAATGTGCAATAATAAATGTGCACATAGTTTACTTAATTGCTTATTAACTGTAATTCTTAATTACCTGGTGTCATTATATGAATCCATAACCTTTTCTCCATCCATTTTTTTTTTCCTGGATGCTGTTCAGGCTCCTCAGATGATGAATACAGATGGAGTCAGCTCTTGTAATCCATGTTGGGTCAGGACAGGGACTAAATAATAAGTAAATTGTGATAAGTAATAATATAATTAATAATAATAATAAGTAAAGCAAAAAGAGAAGGACTTCACCACATACTTTTAGTACAAATATGCACAGTATGGTTTAGCCTTGAGTGCAGCACCTAACCCCTCTCTTACATCCATGGTACCCTGGAGAAGGAATGAGATAAGGAATCTACTGCTAGCTGTGTCTTTCTTACATAAGTGTCAGAATTTCCTACCCAAAAATAGATTTGGTGATGTTTAGTCCCTCTCTGTGTTAAGCCACTCTTTCTCAGTGGAAGTTTGGCTGTTGTGTTAAAGATTTTCTCTGTTAAAGAAAAAAATATCTTCTGGGTTAAAGCCCTGATATCAGTTTATGTTAAATGTGGGTTCATCCTGATGCACTTGAGATGTGATTTATGCTGCTGTTATCACCTGTTTTTATTTTTTTGTTGTTGTTTTTTTTTAAAATAATCATAATATGTGACATTTGAGACAAGCAGTGAGAGGTGTTGAACTCTGAGGGAGAGCTGAATTAGAGAAATATTCCTGCAAGGAAGCTGGAGAGGGACTTCTGACAAGGGCATGTAGTGATAGGTCAAGGGGAATGACTTCAAACCAAAAGAGGGCAGGGTTAGATTAGATTTCGGAAGAAAGTTTTACTGTGAGGGTGCTGAGGCCCTGGCACAGGGTGCCCAGAGAAGCTGTGGCTGCCCTTGGATCCCTGGAAGTGTCCAAGGCTGGACAGGGCTTGGAGCACCCTGGGATAGTGGAAGTTTGCAGGTCCTTTCTCAACCCAAATCATTCTGTTGCAAATCCACATTCAAGGAGTTTGGGATTAAACCAACAGTGGTTTAGTGTTTTCCTCATGGAAAAAGGATGGAATTGCTCCCTGTGAGGGTGGACAGGCCCTGGCATGGGATGCCCAGAGAAGCTGTGGCTGCCCCTGGATCCCTGTCAGTGTCCCAGGCCTGGTTGGATGGGGCTTGGAACACCCTGGGATAGTGGAAGGTGTTCATTGCAGAGGGTAGATTAAGATGAGCTTTAAGATCCCTTCCAACCCAAACCACTCTGGGATCCTGTGATATTTGAGAATGTTTTTCTGTCAATGCCCTCAGAAGCCGATCGGGCCCTCACTCCTAATCCACTTGAAAATTCCAAACAGCGCCAAAACCAGAATGAGCACACTGTACTCACCTCAAACCATCACACTGACAAATTGTTTCCCTTTCAGGCTGAGGCTGACCTTGCAAGACACTTCCCAGGGCAGCCCAGCCCCAGCCCTGTGCCACGGCTCCCTGTGAATCCATCCCGCGTGGATCGCCTGCTCGCCAACCAGGCCCANTTGCAAGACACTTCCCAGGGCAGCCCGTTCCCAGCCCCAGCCCTGTGCCACGGCTCCCTGTGAATCCATCCCGTGTGGATCGCCTGCTCGCCAACCAGGCCCACGAGCGCGCCCGGGTATGCCTGCACTCCTCCTGAATTTGTCTGTTTATTGATCAACAAATCTGGGATTTGTTTGTTTGTTCATCAGCCTCAGTGGGTTTGGTGGTTTTGTAGTGGTTTTCTTTGGCTGATAGTTGGAACTGGTGGTTGAGTTCCATCCCGTTTGCCTGCTCACCGTCCAGGCCTGTGAGTGTGCCTGGGTACGCCTGCACTCCTGCACTTCTCCTGGGATTTGTTTGTTTATTCATCAATAAATCTGGGATTTGTTGGTTTACTCATCAACCTTAGTGGGTTTGGTGGTTTTGTAGTGGTTCTCTTTTGGAACTGGTGGTTGAGTTCACTGATAGAACTGATCAGTGGAGCTCAGCACCAGGGTTTAGTTGAGGTGCTGGGGCCTGGGTTGGGCTCTGTGGTCTTTAAGGTCTCTTCCAACCCAGTGATTCTGTGAATTCTGTGAACTGAAAAGGTGAACTTTGGGATGGTTTTTTGGATGGAGTGGTATGTTGAGAAAACAGTCATTTAAATTAATGAAAACAGTTGTCTTTTAAACTATGAGGATAATCTTTTAAATTGAAGCTAACCAGAGGTTAGTTTCTTGGAGTTATTGATAGAGAAGGAAATCTAGGTTGGAGGGGTGTCATGTTTTTGATTGCTTTCTTGATTTTGTTTCGGTTTTGAAATAATCTCTAGGAGTTAGAAGTCTTTTTGTGGATGATGAATACAGGATGGTTTGTGAGGTGTGATGTGATTTTTTTTTTTTGCAATTGTTGTTTTACTAAATTTTCAAGGGTACTTAGGTTTTTGGGGGTTTTTTGATAAAGTTTACTGATTAATTTAAATAGGGTTATTAGTTTTCTGTGGAATGATGGGTTTTGACATGGTCCCTATTAAAGATCTGCTTCTGCTTTTGCTCCCCACTGGGACAGTGCATCTTTCTTTCATATGGGGAGAGGTTTCTGTATAATGAAGGGATGTGCTGTTGCTGTTTGATCTTTGTGAGGGTATTTACTAAATTTGGGAGTGGGGGGATTGTGGGAAATACTAAAGATAAGAAGAGTTTAAGAAAATTGTGAAAGAAATCCTCAGGAACAGAAAGAGCAAAGAACTTAGAGCAGCTGCAGAGTCTGAAAGTAGAGAAGTTACAGAAGTCCATCAAGCGAGGACATGAAACAACAGCTTGAGTTTTCTGCCAGGTGCTCACCCTGATTGGAAGAATGGAGAGGCTTTGTGGTGCTCCCCTGCACAGGAACATCTCCAGGACCTTGGAGCTGCACCTGGAAGCCATTCAGGTGACCCAGGCACGTCGGAAGGATGAGATTGGGAATGCTGCAAACCCCCGGAGTCATGGGGGGCCACGCTACAACAAGGAGAAAGGTAATGCTGCCCATTCCTGCAGCCCTCAGAGCTTTTCCAGGGGTTTAATTGTGAGTATGTTCCACTTAAAAATGTAAATTTGTAATACCCAGCAATTCTTGTCACTTCATCAAGGAAGTTTGCAAATACACGCTTGTTAATTTTAAGACTTTAACTTACTTTGAGTTCTATTGTTGTTGTTGTTTTCCTGTTACTATTAACAAAAAAAAAAGCTATTTTTTCCTCTTGACTAGGAAGAGTTTTTGTAAAAACTTCAGTCACGTTATATAACCATAAGTGGTTGTCCTAAAAGCAAAAATGTGTCATTTTTAAGCAGGTAGAATTATTTCCTGGTATGGCTAAACTTTCTCTTCTCTTCAGCTTATAAAATAATAAAATAGCCAGTGTTGTGCAGAACAATTGTCTGCCTTACCTAAATCACAAACCCACCAGGAATGGCATTCCACGTTTCCCAAATTCTGTTGAAGTAAAGCCAGAATAATCTGTAGCAGCGGTAAATGTGGCAATTTATAGTCTGAGGTTAAAGATGATACTGTTTTTCTTCAGAAAATACCTGGTTCTCAGAACAAAAGAGGAATTCACTCCTTAGTGCTGAAGTGAAGTGGACAGGGAAGTTCCTTTGGCTGTGGAATAGCTGCTCTTGTGATAAACTGGAAAGAGAAGCAAAATGTTGTGCTTTTGCAGTTCAGGTGTCAAAAATGAAAATGTAACATGAATGTAAAATGTCATGCCCTTAAAACAATAGTCCTATATGCAAACTGGCTTTTAAAATAACTCCTAAAAGTTCCATGTGACTTTTTAACTCCAAGTGTGAGTCAGGAATAGTAGATGGAAGGTTCTTGTCCAGTCAGGAGAAGTAGGACACAGTGGTTAAGTGGATGATTATGATTAGATTTAATGCCAATATTTCAGACTTTGAGTGATTAGTTATTTGGTTAAAAGTAAAAATAATGTAGATTTTATTTCTTAATTGGACAGTTTATCCTTAAAAGACCTTGTACCAAGAGATAGTTGGCCAGTTTGTGCCTTGTTAATGAAAGGCTGCAGAACTCACTGCTGTGAGACTGTGATGTAGATAAGAAATAAAGAACATGTAAGTCTAAACATGAGCTATTGTCTCAAGTGCCTTCAGTCCTGACCCAGGACATTCCTCTGACTGCCTTGGAGGGCTCCAGACCCTGTCAGGGGGCTCAGAGCCCTTGGCACGGAGTCACAAACACCTGTGCCTTTGATTTTAGCCCATGGAAACAATTACCAACTTTGTGCCAGGAGTTACAAGCCACAAGAGTTTGAGTAGAATGATAGTGAATTTATCACAGAGTGAAAAAGTAGAATTTTGGGGGATTTAGAATGGGGGTTCAAGAGGCAAGATGGAGGAATCCT